ATATTTTTAGTACATTACTTATCTTACATTTTAGATGCTTTAATGCTAAACTATACTATATTTGCACTTAATTGAGTCTATTTTATGTGTAGGTACATTGGAGATGAAATTGGAGCAAATTGAATAGTTGAAGGGTAAATCATGCTCGAAAACAATAGGAAAAAAGAAAGAAAGAATTGAGTAGAGGGAAAATGAAGAAGCAGGCGAAGCAAGCCAGTGGCTCGCGTTAGAGCAGGCGAGGTGAGCTCTTTAGCTCACGTAGAAGTGCGCGACGCAAGGGTTATGGCGAGATTGAAGCATGCGGCAGGGCTTGCGTTGCAGAGTCTGAGGCGAAGTGAAGCTCGCGTTTTGCCTCGCAAGGCGAGATCCGTAGCGAGCCTGATCCGGATTTTAAAAGCCTATTTCGTCTCCTTGTTGGACTTGGGCTATGTCATATAGGTCTTTTCCTACACATATAAATAGTCATTAAACACCACTTTTGAGAGAGTTTTTGTGATCTGAGGCAAGAATAGCTCGTGGAACAACTTTTGGGGGAAAGAATCATCGAGTTCTACATTCCTTCATCTTTTCTTTGTAATTTATTTATGCAAAATACTTGGGAATTTGTTACTATGAATATGAGTAGCTAAACTTCTAATCTAGGGTTTTGATGGAACCTATTGGGGGATGATTTTCCTATTACGTTTAATATAGATTCGCCGTAGATTTTTCTCTATTTGTTCAACTACGTTTATATTGTGGTTAATTGAAGAGCTCTCAATCGACTGTGCATATTTAGTGTGTATTGCTCGGAAGAGAATGCATATTTAGGTAGTTGTTGAACAACATCACTCCTAACGTATGTGAGGGATCAATACAGGGGGTTTAAAAGTGGGATTAGGAATAACTAAACCTTGGTGCATCTAAGTGAGCCGTGACTTAGTATCAGCTAGCGTAGTTCGGAAGAATAAGAAAATTACGACACTCAAAGTGCTCATGATCGGTAGAGAAACTTAGGCAAATTTATAGGAAACGTGGCGAAAAGGATTCCGACAATAGGGAAAATTATAACCTTAGATCGTTCCAAATCTTGTCTACAACCTGTTCGTCATTAGTTATTAATTACTGCATTTTCATTACTTGATCTTTAGTTAGTAAACATCCAATTTGTTATTTAGTATTTCTAAAGATTGATTACTTGAACTTATGCAAATCTAGTAGCTGTGCTTAGTAGGTTAATTTCCCGTGGGATTCGACTCCGGACTTGTTAACCGGATTATATTTACAATGACCGCTTAGTCCTTTTTAATAGGCAAAGTTGGGCGTGATCATGTATGTTGTGATTTGACTATTATTTTGGGTTTTACTTTCTGTTAATTGCCCGGATTCATTAAATGAGTTATTAATTGAATTGCAAGGCCTATTGTGGTTTTACTTTAATCGAAAGAGAAGTGTTGCTGCAATTTGCAATGTGCCATATTGTTTAGGTTGATTTTACGCCTTTTCTAGGTAATAAAAAGAGCTTAGAGAGTTATCAATTAACCAAGTTCAGAAGAATAATCGATTTCTTCGAAGGATCATTCATTCACTGTGTTTGGGCATATGTTCATAGGACCTGCTATTAGGTGGATTAAGGGAACTCTCATTCATTCGCAAGAAGAGTTTGAATCCCTAAGGTAGCCTAATCATCTGTTGAAATCGAATGAGATGAACTTTACCCAGAGTTACCCGGAATAATAGTTGATCACATATCTTGTCACAACCCTTACTTCTCACCATGTTATTAAATCACTGCTCCTTAATCATTAAAGTGTCATTAGTTTCTTACAATAGATAATCTTAGTTTTATTTGTAGTCGATAATAACATTAATCAAAAATTTATTTTCCTGGATAGTGTTGAGCTGAAGATTTATTAGAACATTATTTAAACCTATTCCTGTGGAGACGATTCAATACTATACTATCTTTGACTAGCGAGCCTTAGTTTTATATACCGGTTTTGCACTCGTCAAATTTTGGTCCATTATTTTTTGCTCGAACTATACATACATATATGATTAATGTTTAAATGCACACATATAAATAAGATCAATTTCTTTCTGATACCCATTAATTCTAAATCTTGAATTCATCTATGTTGATATCACTACTATTTTAGGTCACAATTTAACGCCCTTGCCAGACAAAATCCTATAATTTGGATCAGAAACCCTAATTGAGGTTTTTGTTCTCCATACAAGTATTTTTTCTGAGGGACTGCACTTAATTTAAAAACAAATAAAAACACAATGAATCTATTTCTTTCTACCATATACAATGTATCTACTAAAATTCTGCCGATTCTAGTTCACTCATTTCATTTAAGACATGAAAAAGAAAAAAAATTCATTTTATTTCGTCAATTGTGGCTAAGAAAGCATAAGTCAAGTTCATTCAAATTAGTTAATAATTAATTGTTTTGACGTATAATTTTTACGTAAATGATAAGTAGAAAAGAGATAGGAACTAGAATAAATAGTGAAGTAGCAATAAATGCAAGAATATTTACTTTCATAGTCTCATCGGTTTTTTATTTCACAATAACTCAGAATTTAATCCATATAGATGATAAATCTTTAGCTGGTAAATTCGATGAATGAATATTTACCTCTCAATGATCTTGAATCGGATCAATATCATGAATAACAATATCTGAACTATCAAGATGTATGCAACTAATTAACACAACATTGAATTAGGTTCCATTTTTATTTTATTTTTGTGGTGGCAAGCAATTAAAAGTTAGTATAAGGTAGCAATAGAAACCATCATGTCGTGTCTTAAAACTTTGTGAGCATCTAACACTTGAAATGTTTATTAGGTACATGTGGAGTTGGTTAGCTGTCTGTATGGCAAAAGAGTGTGTAGACACCGTCAAAGGATGTGGTGTAGCGGATGAGGCTGCTCTTCCCTTAATTAGAGGTCTCGGGTTCGAGTCTTGGGTATGGAAAAATCCTTGGTAGGGAACGCTTCCCCCGAATGAGGCCCTATGCGACGCGAATCTGGATATAGTTGAGCTCCAATACGGATACATGGTGGGAAACAAAAAAAAAGTGTGTAGACAACTTAGTCGTGGGATGTATCTGTAAGATAGTTTGTTATTTTGGAGTTGGAAGTGGAATTGTTCCCATATCTGAAGAGAGAAGGCTCTTTTGGAGCCTTTTAAGCACTTGTCCCTTTCATGTCTTTGATTTAGGACGTGCAATTATGTACACTATATATTTATATATTATCAAGGACTTGGACATGGGAAAGAAAAATCAATTTATTTGAATTTTAAATTCAAAAGTCCAATAAATACACAAGAATTTCCAACGAAGTGGGATAGAAAATTATTATTGCAGGATTTGTTGTATATTTCCCTAAATTAGTATACCGATAACTCTTGATATGGTGAAATTTCAAACAATCGCTTTGATGGAAGAGAGACAAGATGATATTCTTGCTGTCTGCTCTCAATATCTACTATGTTCTTGATGCCTGAGCCCTGCGATACTATGTTCAAGGAATTAAAGCTCGTGTGCTATTTGCGTGTGTGAAGGAAGCTCGTGTAACCCTGAAACAATAGAACACCTATATTTTGAATGTCCATTTTCAGAAACATATCTACAGATCACTAGGACTAGGAGTAAAACGTATCTTTTCATGCTCATCAAGTTCCAGATGGAAAGTTTAACATACACCCACCCCACCTTAGGCAAGAAGCAAAAACAGAAATGAATTTGGTTAACAAATGAATGTTAATAGAGCCAAGCACGGGATAATATATAAAGTTGATACTAGAAAATGACTGGTCCTGTACAAATGTTTTCACTATATTTTCTTCTTAGACTGATGAAGGAAAAGTAGTACTGTCAAATTCTACACTAGACAGGCATCTTTCCTTTCACCAACTTAGCGAAGAGCTGGAACAACTTACATATTTTTACCCAAATCCTGACAAAAAAGTTGAGACAAGATAATCATACATATTAAGTGCTGATCATGTACCTTTGACTTGTATTAGAGCTCTGCATTTAAGGAGGAAAAATAACTTTTACACATCTCAGCAAACATATCAAAGCTCAACAGTGAACTTGTGGACAACCTCCTCCTCCTTGCTCAACTCACTCGAAAAAGGAAAAGAACAAGATTATATGAATTGCTATTGAGATGAAGCTTCAAGCAATACATGCACTACAAAATCTTCAACCAAGATTGGTTCATATTCCGAAAGACTATGCACATACACGCTGACATAGCTACGTTTCTCTTAGTTGTTTGTCCCGATTTTCTTACCATATTTAGTTTTTCTATTGTGAGCACCTAATTTTTTCCCCCACATAAGAAATTACTTACTAAAAATAGTCCAAAAATAATTTTAATTATTTTTATAGAATTTTAGAAGTTTTTCTTTTATTTGTTTTGCATTTATTCGCATTGTTCATGTATATTTAGAAATGTTTTAAATCATAAAAATCATCAAAAAATAGTTTATCTTTCATTTAGTGTGTTAATTGCATTTAGGAATTAATCATAGGTTAAGAACATAATTAAAATAAAAGTCATTTGATTAATTGTCCGGCCTCCTAACCTTGACTTTCAGGCACCCAAACGACGTAGTATCATATCAATACTACGTCGTTTCTTCTTCTTCGCTTACAAATAAGAGTTCTAGGCTTTTATTTGGTTTTTGCGCTGCTGTTTCCCTGCTTTAGGTATGTAAATCCTCACCTGTCCTTTTATTTCGAATTTATGGATAAAACTTTGTTGTATTCCTGCTGATTTAGATCTGGCTTGCCTAAGCCTCAAATTCTGTTTGTTTCTCTCTTTTCTGATCAATACCTAATGCTGAATGTGCTTCCATTAAAGGTTCAAGTGTTAGTGAGCTATCGATTATAATTGAGTAATTTGAAAGTTTGTTTGGTGCTTTTGTGAATCTATGAAGGCTGGTTGAAGTTAGCATATTTGAAAGGATATTTGTGTTGGAGGTCGGGTCTGGCAGATTTAAACATCATTCAAGTTGTTTCAGTCATTCAGCTATTCCCTGTGGTTATTGTAGAAGTTGTTGGATTTTGGAATTCATCTTATAATGACATGAGGGTTCATAATTAATTATTTGCAATGTTACAGCCTGTATTTCTAATTTCAGTAGCTATTGATCTCAAATTTGCAATTAATTAAAACTTCCTCCCTATGAGTAGTATATCGTGATTTATGAATGCACTGTTCAATTAATTTAGTTCAAGCTAATATCACTGCTTCAGATGGAGTGTTAATGCAACGAATTAGTCCTATAATATGTTTATTCATATCTTGATATTTGAACCTTGTATAATTGTTGCTAATTGTTGTTACTTAATTACTAGTTTTCAAACTCACTCTTGGTTTGTCCATGGTAAGAATTTGGTAAATACCTATCATGTTCGGTCATTTGGTCGTAAACAGCGTGTTGGATATATCTATCTGTTGCGCCTAATTTTATATGGGTTATGGAAATCTTAGAATTATCCGGACCACAAAAGATGAGCCTTGGCTTAATCTCTTGAAATAATATGACTGCTACGTCCTCTTTTATTAATGAAACTTCTTAAAATGCTAGCTTTCATTTAGGTTCAAGTAATGGAGTCCGTTGGGAATCTCAAACACCTTACTAAGCCTTGAACATTTCTGGTGATTTGGTCATCACATTTAGTCCATAATCTTAACTTTCACATGCGATCCCAAATAATAGAAAAAATGCTTATCAGCACTTTTTATCAAACATTTCAGCACTTTCATCCAAATTGGTGAATCGGAATGACGTCCAAGCCCAACAAGTAAAACACCCGTATTCCCTGGGGACAATCATCAGCAAATCGGTTCGCCGCTATAGATGGAGCGGGAAGTGATAGAAGCAGAGCTAGTACTGCCAACTCACATGACATTCAAGAAGATTCAGATGTACGACAAGTACCCTAAAGGACAGGCTAGAGGCCGTCATTGGAAGCATCTCAAGCAGATCATTCAAGCTGAAAATTACGAAAATTATCCTCCTGACTTACCTACTTGTGAGTCTCAATCTTTCACCTATACCCTATTTTTTGCTGTCAATTAAGCTTTTGCAACAAATATCTAAGGTTGAAATCTCATACTTGAATTGTTTTTCAAAGGTTGATTTCATTAATTGAAATCTCCAATCTCTTAGTTCAAGTAGGTTGTTGTGTTATAATGTACTGACTCAAAAATGCTAACATACCTAACGTTTATGATTAGCAAAACTTTTTTGCGCTGCTGCATTTTCATTTTCCGTCATTAAGCGAAATTGTTTTGAGTTTATTTCGTGGGCATTATGAGATTTGTGGCATAAGCAGACTAGGATTACATCGTAAATTTAATCTGGAATCATGCATTTTGCGTTTCAATTCCTTTGCCTGTAATGTAGAATAGGGCTGTGTTCTAGTTTTTTGCAAGATATAGCTATACTTATTCAGTTTGGTTCATTTGCTGAGTCTTAATTCTGTTGGTATCCAAATATTTTAGTTTGCTTAAAGAAAAAACTGATGTGTAACCAAACTTTTGTTGGTTCGGTTTGATTCAATCTTGAGGTTGATCGGTTAACTTGGTTTGAAAATTTGGTTTATTGTATCCAATGAGCATATAGACAAGAATTAGATGTAGCATAAACTACTTTTGATGAAAACATCTTAGATCCAAATTGAAATGCCCAAACAATTTCACATCGAATTCTTGTTGTGCCTAACTTGATAGAAAGTTAAGTTCAATTTCGTACTTATTCGATCACGACAATCAAATTACTAAACCATTCATTGATACTTCTTTTCCCACCCAAAGGTTGTTAATGATACTTGATGGCAGTATTGTTATATCTGCGAGAGAGAGATATTTGGGGTGGTGGTGGCGGTAGTGTGACGGATCTTCTACTTCTTTTGAAGATGACAGACAAAGACAGAGTGTAGAGAACAAGGAAAAAGGCGGCCTAAGTTGATTTTGTGCGGAACATATAATATGAGACCTCGATGTCACACGTCATGCATTTATTGGGCATGCTTGACTTCTTGATTGTTATTCATATCATTAATTCTCCAATGGGTGTGCTTGACTTTTTGAGCTTTTATCTATATTGTTAATAATTTCAACACTCCTCTTTAAGGTGGAGAATAGAATTTTATATACTCCAAGTTTGTCATAAATATACTGATTGTGTGGTCCTCTCACGGCATTTGTGATGTTTACTAGTTGGTTATTTTTTCCAAATTAAAGAATGCTAGTTGGTCCAGTGTGCTGACAAATTCTATCATATCTTCCTTGGAAAGAGCTTTCTTTCAAACGACAATCTATTTTTATACTCTGAGTTACTTCACAAACACTATGGTGGAAGCTATATGGAGTGCTATGATTATCTCACTATATTTTTTTATCTCCAAATATCAATTCTTGAGGCAATTGTTTTATTTGTATGAGTTCCCAAGTACTTGCAGTGATGGTTCGACATTTAGCAACTGCTCTAAGATCAAGTAACAATGTTCTGGTTTCTAGTTTTCATGATACAAGATTTTCATTAAAATAAACATAGTCTTCAGAGATAGATGACTGATCAACTGGTCTGTGATCCAATCTAAATTAGAATATTCTATAGTTTGATTGTTTCTTTTTTTAGTAAACCTTGACTTGGTGAATGTCTAATATATAGCACTTGGAGCATTGAAGATAACCCCATGTCCACATTTATGTACTTGACAGTCACAATGTGCTGAAGCCACTAATATATATGAGACATATGGATGGATAGGCTACCTCCATCCTTGACCAAAGGTAGGGAGCGCTCCCCCTTTAATGGGTTTGACGTCACAGGAATCCAGATTATTCAGGGCCCCAATGTGGGTACCAGACATTGGGTAGGAATCCAAAAAAAAAAATACATAGGGCAAAGGATGAAATGGAAATTTCAAAGTGGTTTGAAAGCATCGTGGAGTTCATGTAGGAGTCTACTTGACCCAATGGTAGACCTTTGATAAAAAGAAGATAGAGGACTCTTTCTGCTCTGATACCAACTTGAGAATTTATTAAGAAAGACATAAGAGCGCTTGACATTAGACACAAGAGTAAGTTTTTCGCTCAGTTCAGTGGCCTATTCTTGAGAACCGCAACTGAACCTCCTAACCAAGGTCAGTCCGGTGCACTAAGCTCCCACTATGCGCGGGGTCCGGGGAAGGGCCGGACCATAAGGGTCTATCGTACGCAGCCTTATCCTGCATTTTTTGTAAGAGGATGTTTCCACGGCTCGAACCCGTGACCTCCTGGTCACATAGCAGTAACTTTACCAGTTACTCCAAGGCTCCTGCTAACCAAGTTTCTTAGAAATGTCAAAAGAAACTGACCGAAACCATATTAATAGAACCACTACAGCTGGAATGAATGCTTCTATCTGACTTTTTGGAATAATGAATGCCTCTGACTGATTGCATCATTTCCTTGACTCAATACACTGCATTTCAACTTCTGCAAGATCTAGGAGTTGAACAACTTCCTGTTCAGTTCTGGATGTTGGTTAATTTTCTTTACTAGTGCATATTGAGTTGCAAATCATGTCATCAGATTTTATTCCCCGTTGCAACCACTTTTCCTGAGCATGTAGTAGTAGCTCTTACCCAATTTGTTTGAAGAGCTTTCAGGCAGATATTGCTTCTACTTACAGTGATCTGGCATTTTTTTGGTTGCTAGTAGTTGACAAAGCATATGTGGTTGCCAAGATCTATCAATAATTAGGTTGTGAAGGTAATGATTCCCTAGAAAACTCTACAATATGGATGCATTTTCCTGGCATTGCACCTTTGTTGTCGTTGTGGAGTCTGATGAAGATTGCCTTGAAATTTGCTGCATTTTCCAGCAACATCACTAAACATTTGCTAACAAGTCTAAACCCCAGACTTTTGACTATCAGTTAGAAAGTGATTACAGAACAGTCCATTTTATTTTGAATTAAATTGCAGATGGGGAAATGATATCTTTCTTGTTTATATGCTGAACTGTTATCATCAATCATCATACAAGTTGAACATTCAAAATATGCTTTCATGAGCAACAGTCTATTTATTTCCCAGTGTAGGGACATTATTTTGCAGATATTCCTTTTAATCATTCGTAGCTAAATGAGTATTTCAAAGTTTTGACTTTGTTTGCTCAATCCCTGTAGATGTTAACATTGAATCACCACCTTCTATGCATCCATGCAAAAAGATATGCGACGTAACAGGATTCGAGGTACCTTTGCCCCAGAGTGCCTTGTATGATATGGTCTAAATTTCTGCTTGCTTTCCTGTGCTGTCTTACTGTCACATCCTCTCACTGAATAGGGGTTGTGTGCATTCTTANAAGGTACCTTTGCCCCAGAGTGCCTTGAATGATATGGTCTAAATTTCTGCTTGCTTTCCTGTGCTGTCTTACTGTCACATCTCTGAATAGGGGTTGTGTGCATTCTTAGTCCTTTATGCCATCAGAAATTATTTTCCAGCACAAATATTTTTGGATGGTAAAAAATTCTTATGTTTGACATGCAGGCACCATATTTTGACCCACGAACTAAACTCCGTTATGCTAACACCGAGGTTTTCAAGATAATAAGATCGCTTCCTAATGACTATGTTCAGAGGTATTTGGCTCTCAGAAATGCAGTTGTTATTTTGAAATAGGTGCAGTACGAGAAATAGATAGTTGTTAACTTAGGTGGAAAGTAGAGTACGTTTGAAGTTCTAGTTTCTGAATGCTCAGTGCATAAGTGTATTTTTAGATTTGTACTAAAAGAAGAAATCAAAAGGCCTAGTTTTGTTAGATCTCTTAAATTTGTTTGCGATTGTGGCGTTTTATTTGTGTTGAAATCAATCTTGTTTCTTAGAGGATTATATGGAGTATTACTAGAAGGTCCATCTATTTCTTTTTGGTCGTGATGTTTGATGGCAATGTCACTCGTGCAACTCTTAATGAGGTTAACAGAGTTTCTGCTTTAGAGCAAGTTTCTCCCTTTGTTCTCGCCCTAAACTATCTCCCTTAGACTCTTGTGTATTCGGTTCTTCAATTAGAAGTTCAACATTCATTTTTTGTATGATCCCATAAGTAATATTCATGATGTGAAATTATGAGTGGATTTGTAATTAATATTCGGTTCTTCAATTAGAATCTTATTCTGTATAACAACACAGGTGGCCTAGCATAATCTGAATGATGTATTTGGTCTGAAATTTGGGAAACTTGAAATTAACATCAGGCGCCACCTCAGAAAGATATGAATCCACCAGATTTGCCACCCTTGTTATTGAAGCCAAAGACTGATTGCCTTCTACCAAATTGATTTTCTTCCATTATACATGGAGATGCAGCAGCAGAAGCCTGGTCTAATAACAAGAAATGGTCCAGAATACGCTGAAAACAGTCTATATCATATAAAGTCTCAACTGAGTAGCCACTATTTGGTATCAGCAAATCATCAAGTGTAGCTTGCAACATCATAGCAGTACGGAGCAACCTCAGAAGAAACCTAGTCTCTGTTACTCCTTTCTGTTTTGGTAATAACTCCACGATCTCTTCAAGAAGCGCCCTCTGATCTGCCTCTGATGGCGTGGATGCGGGTTTAGCATGGCTAGTGTCCTTGAGGGATATGTTTCTTTGCATAAAACACGAGGGCGCCTGATATATTTTCAGGCCTCAATCATCAGCCTGAATTAAACGTTTGTAGAGGGATATGTTTCTTTGCATAAAACGTAAGCTGAGGAATGACACATCTTTGTACCACCAATCATCTGTCATCGGCTGTGGCTTCGTTCCAGTACTTATACCATTCCATACATCAGAACCCGTGTTATTATCATTACCATTCTCCAATTACAGGCCAATTAAGTAACTTCGAATCGCTACAAGCTTTCATCGCCAACGAGATTATGCGTCTCGACACAATATGAAGCTCTTCAGCATGCGGTAAAACTTCTTCACAGGTTTCTAGTGTTTTTACTGTGTCTGACCAATTTCCAAATACATCATTCAGAAAAGCTTCAGTTTGTGTAACTAGATTTCCTTCCCTTATTCGTTGGTCATTTGTAAAAACTCAGATGCACATCTAAGACTCGCTACATTTAGAGGTGTAAGTTCAAATCTAACACCATTACAAAATTTGGCTACTAACTCAAATGCTTTAGCTCCACCAGGTATATCAGTAAGCTGCAGAACGCATTCCGATCCATCCTCTTTTGTCGATTCGCTCATAAGCTTTTCTAGAAGTCCACTTCTTGAGAGCAAAGGGAACTGCACCACAATTAAGTGAGTTGTTTTAGATTTTGTTTGTGAATACAACAACAACGAAGACATATCCTATATATTCATACAATGTGGGGGTCTGGGGAAGGTAATTTGTGTGCAGAACTTACCTCTACCTTGTAGAGGTAGAGAGGCTGTTTCCGATATACCCCCGGCTCAAGAAAAGCGATTCACAACAGGTTTGAAAAAGAAAAACAGCAATGAAGAAGCCAAGTTGAAAATAATGAAGGCAAGAACAGTAACTGTGGCAGTATTTTCAAAAATTAAATAGCCATGTGTCTTTCTATTTTACAAATGTCCTACCTATTTCCAAGTGGCTATGAATATCTACCATGTGACCTTTTGCATGAAGATATGAGGCCAAATTGCTAAGCCAAAAACAAGTGGCAATCATCTTTCATGCAATTAAACACTTGGCAATTTAAGAAATCCCTAGTATCTCTATAAATAGCCTTCTTGCTTTGTTACACTTTTCTTAGCTAATCATTGCTTTTTTCTTTGGCTAATCATTACTATAATTATTATTCTCACTATTGACCAAATCATTATCTGTTGAAATTATTTCTTCCCTCCGGCTTATTCCAAAATTTGTTGGTATTATTTAATTTTGCTGATTCCTATATCCTCTAAATAAATAGAGATGAGCTTGTTTAATCCTGGAAAAATATTTCACATTGCTGAAATAGTTTCTTAGGACAGTGCCCAGCACGACTCAAGCCAATTCATGTATCTGCTTAAAAATAATATTATTGTAGTATTATTATCGTTATTTTTCGGTATCATTTTCCTACAATCTAAGAAACTATGTCAAGTAATACCACTACGAAAATTTTTGATAGTGCTACCAATTTTGGTGTTGACTCTACTGCTACTATTCCAGTTGTCCTTCCAGATATCCACGGTGTTGCAAATACGTTATTGCATCCATAACTTTAGCAGACACTAATGTCAAAACACAGGTATGTGAATAGACATGGTTACATATCCAATGCTAATATTAAAACCTTCAAGAAAAATGCACCTCAATGCAAGAGAAAAGTTGGGATAAATGATAATCTCGCTAAGTCAAAATTAAATTTGACTAAAGCAGATAATATAATTGTTACGGTCATTTTCCAAATTAATAATGTGGCCAATGTGAGAGATTGGGTAATAGACTCAAGTGCTAGTAGGCACATTTGTGCAGACAAAAATTACACCCAAGTTGAGGAAGGAGAAGAAACTACTTATCTTTGTGACTCAAGAACAACTCGCGTTCTTGGGAAAGGAAAAATTCTTCTCAAACTCACATATGGTATAACTCTAGCATTGAGTGATGTATTACATGTCCCTAATATCCCAACCAATTTGGTTTCTATGGGGTTATTAGAAAAAGTTGGAGTAAAGGTTTTCTTTGAAAATAATGAGGCCGTATTGACCAAAAATGATATTTTTGTGGGCAATGGATATTATAACCATGGTTTATTTCTGCTTAATATTTCTAATACTAGCAATGAAAATGCATCTTCTTCTGCTTATATGATTGAATCTGTTTCTTTATGACATGCTAGACTAGGACATACTAATGTCGCGTATATAAAAAAAATGCAGTCACTAGGATTAATATCTGGTTTAGACTCAAATAATATTGACAAGTGTGAAATATGTGCTGAAGCTAAAAGTACTAGAAACACTTGTTTTTCTATAAATAGAGAAACTGAATTGTTATCCTTGATTCATACTGATTTAGGCGATTTAAAGCAGACTATGACTAGAGGTGGTAAAAGATATTATGTGACTTTTATTGATGATTTTTTTTAGATATACTAAGTTGTATTTGCTTAGAAATAAAGATGATGCTTTTAATGCTTTTATTTCTTATAAAACTGAGGTTGAAGATCAACTTAGTAGAAAAATTAAGAGAATTAGATGTGATAGAGGTGGAGAATATTTGTCTTTAAATAATTTTTGTGAAAAGAATGGAATTATTCATGTAGTAACTCCACCTTATTCATCTGAGTCAAATGGAGTAGCTGAAAGGATAAATAGAACATTGAAAGAGATGATGAACTCTATGTTAGTTAGTTCTAATGCTCCTGATAATTTGTGGGGTGAAGCTATTTTATCTGCATGTCACTTACAAAATAGAATACTACATAGAAGAACTGGCAAAACTCCGTATGAATTGTGGAGGGGTTATAAACCTAACTTGAAATATTTAAAAGTGTGGGGGTGTCTTGCTAAAGTTCTTTTGCTTGAACCTAAAAAGAGAAAAATAGGTTCTAAAACTGCTCATTGTATGCTTATTGGATATGCTGAACATAGTGTTGCATATAGATTTATTGTTTTAAAAAGTGATGTGCTTGATTGCAATATTATAATTGAGACAAAGAATGTTGAGTTCTTTGAATATATTTGTCCATTGTCTGATAAAATTTCTCATATATTTGTTAAAATAAATAGTAAAATTACCTCTAATGAGGAACTGAGAAGGAGCAAAAGGCTTAGGAAAGAATATTTTTCTTATGGAAATAATTTTCTAACTTTTCTTGTCGATAATGAACCATCAAATTATTTTGAAGCTATATCTTCTTCAGATGCTAAATATTGGAAAGAGGCAATAAAAGTTGAAATCAATTCTATTTTGAAAAATAACACATGGATTTTAACTGATTTACCTCCTGGTGCAAAGCCTATTGATTGTAAATGAATTTTCAAAAAGAAATTTAATCCTGATGGATCTTTAGATAAATATAAAGCTCGGTTAAAAGCAAAATGATTTTCTCAAAAATAAAATATAGATTATTTTGATACATTTGCACAAGTGACTAGAATTTCTTCTATTCGAGTTTTAATTCCCTTAGCTTCAATCCGTAAGCTTTTTATCCACTAAATGGATGTCAAAACTGCTTTTCTAAATGGTGATTTAAAAAAAGAAATTTATATAGTTCAACCTGAAGGCTGTGTCATTCCTGGACAAGAAAATAAAGTTTGTAAATTAATTAAATCTCTTTATGGCCTTAAACAAGCTCCTAAGTAGTGATATGAGAAATTTGAACAAGTCTTACCGAGAGACAATTTTTCTTTAGTGAAGGTGGATAAATATGTTTATACTAAAGTGGTAGACAATGATTATGTGATAATATGTCTATATGTTGATGACATGCTTATATTTGGTACAAGCTTAAATATTGTGCAAAGTACTAAATTATTTTTGTCTGCTAATTTTGATATGAAATATCTGGGTGAAGTAAATACAATATTGGGAGTTAAAGTTATATGGAGTGAAGATGGAATAATGTTGTCACAAGAACATTATGCTGAGAGACTTCTTAAGAAGTTTGAATATTTTAATGTCATATCTGTGAGCGCTCCTTTTGATGCTAACTCTCAGTTGAAAAAGAATAATGGTGACCCAGTTGTTCAGTCTAAATATGCGCAGATTATTGGGAGTCTGATGCATTTAATGAATTTTACAAGGCCTGATATAGCTTATGCTGTATGTAAACTGAGTAGATATACTCATAATCCCAACATAGAGCATTGATCTGCATTAGATAGACTAATGAAATATTTGAGAGGAACCATGAATTATGGTATCCTATATAGTGGATTTTATTCTACTTTAGAAGGATACAATGATGCAAACTGGATCTCTGATTCAGATGAGATAAAATTTACTAGTGGTTATGTATTCACCCTTGGTGGTGGTGCAATATCGTGGAAATCAACTAAACAGACGATTATTGCTAGATCGATTATGGAATCAGAGTTTGTAGCTCTGGAATTAGCTGGTTCTGAGGCTGAGTGGCTAAGAAACTTCTTAGCTAATATCCCTTTAATAAAGGACGTATTGTCTCCTGTGTCTATGTTTGTGATTGTCAAGCGGTAATAGTTATTGCAAAGAATAAATCTTATAATTGTAAAAGTAGACACATGAAATTGAGACATGATGTCATAAAACAACTGTTTAGAGATGCAATAATTTTCATTGACTATGTGAAGTGAGAGATAAATTTGGCCGATCCTGTGACTAAACCTGTGGGAAGAAAATTAATTCTTCAAACCTCAAAAGAGATGGGGTTAAGGCAGACATGCTGTCAATAGAGATGGTAACCCAATCTATGTGATTGGAGATCCCATGAAGTAGGTTCATATAGGTAATAACAAATCGATATTGGCACTGAAGCACTAAAAGAGAGTGCTTGACTGCTACCAATTGAGAGGTTGAGTTATAACTCTTAATGAAATTCATAGTCCGTATGAATGGTGTATTTAAAAGCCGTATACACTTGATGAATTCGCCTATATGAGAGTGGATTGGGCCGCTCCTATGAGATTTTTGGCATAGTCTCTAGAGCTCTCATGAATAACCAGGCACGCTCATGGCCTATTGGGCGCAAAACCGTATTGAACAATAAAATTACCGGGGGTCAAAATGTGATTGATAAAATCTCTGACTTACAATAAGAATTATTGGTTCATACAAATACTATACTTCACCAGTAATTCTGTGAGTTAAATTTTATTGGTCTAAATTTGGTTCATAGTCCAGAAGATACCAAACCTATTACATTTGGACCATCCAAATCCAACAAGTTGTTAATTATTTCATTCCTTTATCTTTTTCCTATAAGTTTTTGAAAATATGTGGGAATTGTGGCGGTATTTTCAAAAATTAAACAGCCATGTGTCTTTTTATTTTACAAGTGTCCTACCTATTTTCAAGTGGCTATGAATATCTACCATGTGGCCTTTTGCATGTAGATATGAAGCCAAATGGCTAAGCAAAAAATAAGTGGCAATCATCTTTCATGCAATTAAACACTTGGAAATTTAAGAAGATTCTAGTAT